TTCCAACTAAAGGTGATAGATAACTGGGAACTTTCTAGGCATGAAAAGCGATCGTTAGGGTACTGGCAAACTCTTTGTTCGACGTGGATCTTTAAACTTTGTAGTAGACAATTATTTTTCGGGGAAATTTTTCCAAGGACATAGGACGTTTAACTCCTCCTTTTTAAGTCTAAATTACGTCCTTTGATTGTGAATAAAGATCTAGATAAGTATCGGCTTTATCATAACTAGAATGAGAAAATATTCGGTGTCTTGAAGAAGAAATTTACATGCTCTAATCAGAAGGTTTTGAAGAAAAAGGAAAAGAAAACTTGGTTTGCAGATTAAACAAATCTCTGTACGGTCTAAAGCAGACGCTGGGGTGTTGGTACAAGGGATTTGATTCATTCATTATGAGCCTTGGATATAACAGACTTAATTCAGACCCTTGTGCATATTTCAAAAGGTTTGGTGAAAATAACTTTGTTATCTTATTGTTGTATGTTGATGACATGTTGGTTGTAGGCCCCAACGAAGATCGTATCAAAGAATTAAAGGCACAGTTGGCTAGGGAATTTGAAATGAAGGATTTAGGATCTGCAAACTAGATTCAATGGATGCAAATTTATCGAGACAGAATTAATAGGAAGATTTGACTTTCTCAGAAGAATTATTTGGAGAAAATCTTACGGCGCTTTAACATGCAAAATTGTAAGTTAATTTTTACTCCACTTCCTGTTAATTTTAAGTTATCCTTCACTATGAGTCCTAGTAGTAAAGAAGAGAGGATGGAGATGTCTCGAGTATCGTATGTATCAGCAGTGAGAAGTTTAATGTTCGCTATGATTTGTACAAGACCAGACATTGCACAAACAGTGAGAGTGATTAGTCGATACATGGCTAATCATGATAAAGAGTATTGGAATGCTGTAAAGAGGATCCTAAGATACATTAAGGGAACCTCAAATGTTGCATTATGTTATGGGAGATCAGATTTTATTGTCAATGGATATGTTGATTCTGATTATGCATGTGATCGTGATAATAACAAATCCACCACAGGCTATGTGTTTGCACTTGCTGGCGGAGTTGTAAGCTGGATTTCAAAGCTGCAGTCAGTTGTGACTACTTCAATAACAGAAGCAGAATATATAGCAGCTACACAAGCTAGTAAATAGGCGATATGATTGAAGATGGTGCTGGAGAAACTCGGGCATGAACACATAAATATTTCTTTATTTTGTGACAGTCAAAGTGATTTGCATTTAGCAAGAAATTCAGCTTTTCATTCAAAGACGAAACACATTCGAGTTCAGTACCACTTTGTTCGTGAGAAAGTGGAAGAAGGAACAGTGGATATGCAGAAAACTCATACCAAAGACAACCTAGCAGATTTTTTGAAAAAGCAGTCAATACTGATAAATTTATTTGGTGTCGATCCTTTTATGGTCTGTCAGAGACATAAGCAACATGAAAATGACAAGATAGAAAGAATGGTGCGAAGATATGATTGATACTCAATCAAATCTTCAAGTGGGAGATTGTCAGCAGAATTTTTTAACAAATAAGGTGGCGGGCCCCACAACAAATTTAATGCACCGAAAGTGGCGGAAACTTTTAAAAGGAGGAAAAGTGTACAGTAAAAAATTATTATAAAATTAGGAATAATATTTTCCCAGCCATTATAAATAGGCCTAAAACTCTTCATGAAAAATTCATCCCGGCAACAACTCCACATATAGAATAGTGAGAGAAAATAAATAGAGAGTTTCTCCTTGTAAAAGAGAGATTGTAACTCTAAAATTTTTTCTCATAGCGGATTCTTCTATCATTGCCCGTGGTTTTTACCCCAAATTTATTTAGGGGGTTTTTAAAGTAAATGTGTGTGTTCTTTTTAACTTTACTATTCACTGAGATCCTGCTCTATTGGGCTCCGGGTTTGTCCCAACAAGTGGTGTCATACGGTGAATTCCCTCCTTTTAAAAGTTTCGGCCACTTTCGGTGCATTAAACTTGTTGTGGGGCTTGCCACTTGAAGATATGATTGAGTATCAACCATGTCTTCACACCAATCTTTCTATCTTAACATTTTCATGTTGTTTGTGTCTCTGACAGACCACAAGAGGATCGACACGTGCACCCGAAGGTGAAAGTTTAAGTCCTGGAACATTTACTCTGACTAGTACCTATCTCCCATGGATGTACATCATCTTTTTTTCTTCTCTCTTTACCACTGTAATGAGGATTTTGTTCTGGGGAAAATTTGCAAAATAATCCGTTTTTGTTAATTATTTAGCAAAATAGACCGTTTTCCTAAATAATTAGCAAAATAGACCTCTTTTAAAAAAAGAGATCGATTTTGAAAAACAAAATTCAGAAAACATACAGGACTACTAGTCCCGTATGTTTAGAGCCAACTTAATCACGGATTAGTGACTCAGAAAACATACGGGACTATATGTTTAGAGCCAACTTAATCACGGATTAGTGACTCAGAAAACATACGGGACTAGTAGTCCCGT